GACCAACGCCCCAGGGGGTGGGCTGGGTGGAAAATCTGCTCAGAGAAGAGACTGGGTAGAGTCTGGGGTTTACACATTTATCCAACGAGTAGCAGGTACTGTTTCAGGAATCAGCGAGGAGCACAGAGTCCAGTGGGGAAAACAGATAATAAATCAAGCGTATAGAACACAGGTCACATTACATAGCAGCAAACGCTAAGGTGATCAAGAGAGCGCAGGAGGGAAGAGGCTGTTTGGGAGTGTGGCGAAGGGGTTGCAATTTTAGCCAAGGAACCAGGGAAGGTCTCGCTGCTCTCTGGTGAAAGTGTTCCAGGCAAGGGAACAGTAAATGCCGGACGTGTTCGAGGAACAGCAAGGAAGCCCGTGTGGCTGGAGCAGTGTGGATACCTGGGAGAAGGGTGGAGCCAGAAAGGAGGGGTAGGGTTGCCGGATTTAGCAGACTGAAACCCAAGACGCCCGTTTAGATTTGAATATCGCAGAAGCGATACATAATTGTTTAAGATAAGTATGTCCCGACTATTGCATGGGATATACTGCTCCTGGAAAGGGGACCCACTACTGCCTCAGGGCTACTGTCACCCACCAGGGAACGTCCCCGCCCACCCTCTGACTGTCACCAGCTCTGTGGGGACCCAGGGCTCTGTCCTAAGGGGCCCCACTCCCCCCGCCCCGCATGCTGCCCGGAAGTGTCGCCCTGGCCAGTGTCTGCAGCCCGGAAGGGCCTGCACGGACCATCCTTCTGTTCCTCACCCTCTTCGACTCCGAGCCGTCTTTCACCGCCCCCTCCCCCGACGTTTCCACATTCTTGGTTTCTCGCTGTCTCTTCTGTTTTTCCTGCCTCTCCTTCCTCTGCGCGGATCTTTTCCTCTACTGCCTTCTCCCCACCCCTCTCTCTGTCTCTGTCTCTGTCACTGTGTTTATGCATTTCTCCAGGCGTCCGTGCATGAGTGTGCACCTGCACACGCGCGTGAGCGTGCGTGTGTGTGTTGCCATCTCTCCCGCCTCCCCTCTCCCCCCACACGCTCCATGTGCCCCAGAGGGGACCTAACTCATAAACATTTCACAAAGCACGGGCTGTTGTTGGAACCAGGCAGAGATGATGAGCCTGCCTCCAACCTTCCCGGGGACCTAACACCAGTGACCCAGCGGTTGGGTGTCCTGTGCTGGGAAAATAACAAGTGGAAATTCACTTGGGGACACGCAGAGACCACAGGTCGCTCCCCTTTTTACTATAAGTGAAATCCAGGGCGTTGACTCTCAGGTACTGGGAGTGAGAAGCCCGATGTCAGAGGGAGGGAGGGGCTGATGACACTGGGGCAGGGTCTCAGTCCTGGATCTATCACCCGCACGGTCCCCCTTCTCTGCTCCTGAGGCTCCCCAGCTGCAAAATGGGGCTAACAGCGCCTGCCCTGCAAGCTTCCGGGCTCCCCAGTGGTAGGAGTTTGAGGCCCAAGCGTTAGACATGGGGTTTCCTTAAGTCCCTGGATGGTGCTGATGTGAAGGTGGGGTTGAGAACCACAGTCGTAGGGTCCACGCATTCCCTCACCTAGAGAGGTCTCTTTGCCCTCAAAATGGAATGGAATACGATAGGACAGAACAGAACAGAATCGCAAACCCCACTTATCATCGGCACCTCTTTGCCATAGACAATGGGCACTAGCCGACCCCTTCCTCTCCCTCCTCCCCCCCTTTACCTACGTACCTTCCACCCCTAATCACCTCCTACACCCTCCCTCCACTCTCCTTCTTTCTTCTTTTCAAACACATGAGCTCATTTCCACCTCAGGGCCTTTGCACTTACTGTCTGTCACCTGCTTGGTCTGCTGTTTCCCCACATGGCAGATTCCTCACTGGGTCTCAGCACAATTCCACCTCCTCCCGAAAGCCCTCTCTGACTGTCCTTCCTAGACTACTGTCTCTCTTGGCCACCCGCTAGCTCATGACCCTGTTTTATTTTCTTCATGACCCTAATACTACCTAAATTTCTCATGTGTATCATTGGTTCGTGTATCGGCCATTTCCGTATAAGCTAGTAAGGACACAGATCTTGTCATTCACCTGCACTGACTTGTCCCCAGTGTCCCAGACCCCAAGAACAGTTCTAGACACATCATAGGAGTTTGGCAATTATTCACTGAATGAATGAGATTCTTTCCAACTATGTTGTTGGTTCCTTGAGTACACGTGTGCTTTCTGTGCCCGGAGCAGGGTTTCTCAAGCTCGGCACGCCTGACACGTGGGACTAGGTAATTCTCTGTCGTGGGGACTGCCCTGTGCACTGAAGAATGCTTAGCAGTGTCCCTGTGGCCTCTGCCCACCAGATGCCAGGAGCACTCATCCCCAGCTGTGACAGCCAAATATGTCTGTGGCCATAGCCAACATCCCAGGTGGGCAGGAGACGTGAATCGCCCCAGCAGAGAGCCCATGCCCTGCAGTGTCAGACACATGGCTGGGCACCCAGAGGACTGAAGAGTCCTTGGACCGATTTGAGAAATCAGGCCCCGCCCCCCCGCCGACGCACGTCCACCTCACAACCAGCAGGTGGCGGCAAAGACCGCCGTCTCACTAGCATGGCGGCCCCCCCCCCCCCCCCCCGGGAAAACTTTTCATTTCTCTCCGAGGCGAGGCGTGCTAACCGATTTTGTAACTTTGCCGGCTCCCCTCCCCATGGGGCCTTGTGAGCGATCTGCTCAGCCTGCACTTTTCCAGACTGAGACAAGGAGGCAGCGGCGATGTCCTAAACCCACCAGCAGACAGAAAGCCGAGTGGTGCCGGTGTTGGCTTGGCTCGAGGGAGAGAAAGGAAATCATCCTGCCGTGAGGCAGATCTAATTTCCATCCCAGGTGTACCCCTTTCTCTCTTCGTGCCCTCGGGCCAGTTAACTTCGCCTGTCTGTGCCTCAGTCTCCTCTCCTGTATCCTGCCCCGCTTATCTCCATGGTCCCCGCCACCCACCACCGGTTTTGCCCCCCTCCCTCCTCGATCACGCGGCAGCTCAGAGGCCGAGGGCTTGCTCCGGTGGGTCAGCGCCCCCAGCTCCCAGCATGCACCTGTTTGTTGAGTGACTGACTGACAGCATGTGGAAGAGTGCAGGTGCCTAACAAGTACCCAGCAAGGGTCAGCTGTGATGATGCTCACGACACAGGAAGGGGAGGTCATCGTGAAGTGATGCCACACAAGGAGGGTGATGTCACGGTGAGGGTGATGGTGTCATGGTGAGGACGGTGGTAGTGTCATCTCAGGACCCCCAAACCTGCACTTACCGAGGAATCTTCTGAATCTTTTACAAGAATAGGTTTAAAACCTCAGCTGTGCGCTGGAACCATCCAGAGAGTTCTCTGCCTCCAGATGCCATCAGAGCAAGGATGCAGCCCGGGGCACAGGGCTTTTAAAAGATGCCCAGGTGATTCTAATGTGTGGTAAGGTGACAATCACCCCTGTCACTTAGCAAATCCTCCAGATTGATGTCATACACACAGTGGTCCCGGGCCAGTAGCATCCCCATCACCCGGGAGCTGGTCAGCAATGTGAATTCTCGGGTCCCACCAGGACCTCCAGACTGGCTCTTTCGGCCCCTGGGGAGGGCAGTCCGCCAGGGGGGTTTGGACACCGAGAAGAGTCTCACATGCTCCGGTGTGAGCAGAGCCACCCCAGGGGATTCAGATATGCGGACACTTTGGGCACCCCATGGGCTGGAAAACCCATGGGCTGGAAAACCAGGAAGAAAGGAGGGATGGAATGTCCTGGGGGAGGGAGGAAGGGATACAAGGAGTCCCTGAAGATCGTCCCGTTGGCAAACTCCATGGGAGTCCGTCACCTCACATCCTAGGCCCACCCCCAGCACCTACACTGACAAAGGCCCACGTCACCTGCAGACTTATGTTTGCCTAGAAGGAGCCAGGCTTCCCTGGAGAACACTCCATGCCAACAGGCCCACGCAGGCGGGCACCATCCCCCACCCAGACCCACGAAGGCCACACGACAACTAACGCTGTGTCATTACACAAGAGCTGGAAAAGTGTCACCAGGACTCGGTCCACGGCAGACTTCACACCTTGGACAGAAGACCGCGTGTGGGGACAGCAGGGTGGGGTGGGGGGGACACTTTACAACAAACACCTCCCTTCTGGAGGCGTGTTAGAAATGCACAGTTTCCTGAGGCGGCCCCTGCTCACTGTTTAAATGCCAGTGACGACTGAGATGTGCCGATTCCTCGGGGGACCCTGGTTTCCGCATTCCCGGCGTGTGTGGACCTCGCCAGCCGTGGGCTTGCGGCCAGGGAAGCAGGCTCAGTCAACACACTCACGTGGAAACTAAGGGCCAAGACAACCGCCCAGGAGTTGTTGCTGCATCTGTGAGGATGTTCTCGCCCACCGAGCGCGAACGTGCTCGTCGTTCTTCCCTCCCCGGGCGAGTCTGCTGACTGTTCCTTCCTGCAAACCCCAAGCCTGCCGATTCCTCTTCCCGCCTGTTGTGAGCGTGTCGGTGGTCCTCCCCGGCAACAGCGATGAAGCCACACGCGAGGGGACCAGCACACTGACCACCAGAGGCCCTCAGGCCTTCATGTGTGGGACGATCGCGTGACGTCTCAAAGCACAGTCCCTGATCGCAGAATCTCCGCTCCGAGTGAGCCGGACTTACTCGAGCCCCGGGACTCCGGGAGGGACGAGCACGCACCCGGCTGACTTCAGCAGGACGTGTGCACGGCCTGGCTGGTGAGAAGCCCAGACTTCTGCTCTCGTCCCCTACTTTCGCACCGCCCCCGCCCCCCTGGGCTCCAGGTCGCAGCACAGCCACCCACAGCAAGCACCCTGCAGCCAGCCGCTAAACCGGCTCAGAGCAGCCGAGGGAAAGGACTGAGTACTGTCCCTGCAGCAAGGAAAACACCACCAGCTCGCTGTGCACCTTTCTGCAGCTCTCCTGACCTCTCTGGTCTCCCGTGTCCTTGGCAAAGAAGGCGAGCCGATCCACTGGGCGGGGGCGTAGGGTGAGGGCTGACGCGAAGGCGGGGGGTGGGGGGGCCTGCGGACGCTGGGAGGCTCCGCTTACGATGAAGGGGGTGCGTTTGTCACTCCAGGTGATGGGGATTCTGCACTCCCGCAGCTCCCTCCGGCCCGCACGGACACACACGTGCACCAGGCCCGGCCGCACACACGGCACGAAGTCGACAGCCGGGTCCGGAGCTCAGTCCACAGTGGCTCTCGGGCTGAGGAGGAGGAGACTGCAGCCCCCCCCCTCCCCAACGGGTCCCAGCCGCCCTCGGCCAGCCCCTCCCTCCCAGCGGACCAGGCACCCGGGCTCAGACGGCCTGGTCCTGCCTCTGCCTCAGGCTGAGCACACGGGCCGCCACCACGAAGGCCACCCCGGTGAACAGCTCGGTGACGAAGCTGATCCAGCCCAGGGCCAGGGACCAGCCGAAGCGGATGTCCACCTGGTCCAGGAGGGCCTTCTCCTCCAGGAGACACAGTGCCTCCTGGAAGGCGGCAGCCGAGTACGCAATGTAGACGCTCATTCCAGCGAGGGTCACCAAGGCTGCGGGACAGGCAAAGGAGAGCAGATCAAACCCCGGGGCTCTGCCTCCTCCTCCTCCTCCTGCTCCTCCCCCTCCCCCCCTTTTCCCCTCCTCCTCCCCCTCTGCTCCCTTCCCTGTCCCTTCTGCCCTCAAAAACTCCTGTTCGTCACCACATCTCAGCTCGTGTTGATTCCAGGACCTCCCAGAGCAGGTCAAGCCCCCTGTGGTTTCACAGCACCTCACGGCCCTCCATCACTGTCCAGGTCAGAGGCGCATTTTGCATTTGTGAGATCACTGAGCTGACGTCCACCTCCCGACAACGGGCTATGAGTTCCAGGGGCCTCGTCCTGGATTCCCCCAGCGCCCAGAACAGGGCTGGCACGCGGTGGGCCTCCCTAGACCGTGAACTAGGGCAGTGCCATCCAGGGCTACAGCTGCTGCTACAGGGGATGACTTAAACCAATTTAAACGAACCCCTCAGCCCTCCCGGGCATCCGCCACACCTCAAGCACCCCACAGCCTGGTTCGAGGCTCCCCCTTGGCACAGCACGGATCAGACTTCCCGCCACTGCAGAAAGTATGACTGGCCAGCGTGGTTTCGAGAATTAGTCACTGAGTGAGCTGTTAACGCCAGTATTGGTAACAGTAGTGGGTGATTGGAGGACATCTGAGCCTCACGATATTTTCACGTCCAGACATTCTTTTTGGGTTTTTTCTTCCGTGGACCCCAGGTGTGTGCATCACGTCTGTTCTTGTTTTGTTTTGTTTTGTTTTGTTTTGTTTTGTTTTGTTTTGTTTTGTTTTGTTTTGTTTTCAAGGAGGGAGGCCTTACGCTCCCAGCCTCACGCTGGACTCCATCTTTGAAAGCCTCTGGTCTGCCAGACCACAGGGATGACAGGCATTGCCCATTTTTTAAGCAAGCATCAAGCAGGATCTGTCAGGACATCAGAGAGACATGAAGACCAAGGGTCTCCGGCCGACCCACAGCCCTCAAGCGGAAGCTGTCAGCGTCTTCTGTGAAACCAGGAAAGCAATCCTGAGGATCTGCCCCTGCCCTCTGCTTCTCTCTTGGGGCCACAGACCCAGGGACCCTGGGCCAAAACCATTCACCCCACCCAGCTATGTGGACAGAATGTCACATATGGACATCCCCGTGTCACAGATGGGGAAACCGAGACCCAGAGAGGGAATGGGACGCCTGCCCCACCCACCCCTGCCGAGGGTTCATGCACATCCCCTTCCGAAGCCCGCGCTCCACGCATGGGGGCACCTACCTCCAAAGAGGAAGAGGGTCCCCGTGAGCAGGAGGAGGATGGAGACTCGAAGGAGGAAGCTCAGAAACCCCGTCATCCCCCCAAAAACCATCAGGATAAGGCTGAGCGGCAGCAGAATCACAAATGTCCCGTGCATGGCTTAGAAGAGAAAGGAGGACAGCGGGCAGAGGAGGGTTAGCAACATCCTGCAGTCAATCAACAAACACTGTGCACCACCTAGGGGCCAGGCCCCAGGTGCTGCGAGCAAAAATTAACAGCGTTGTTACTACCGTGTCAAGACCTCACTCTTTTTCATGGCTGAGTAATATTCCCTCGTCTAAATGAAGTTAAGAGAAAGACACATACCATCCGATTTCACTGATGTAGAATCTAAAAGACAAGTGAATGAGCAAACAGAAAACAGACACTTTCATGCCCAGAACAAACTGGTGGCTACCAGAAAGGGGGGGGGGGCAGGACAAGTGACATAAAGGGAGTTAAGAGGTACACACTCCCAAGAATAAGATAAATGAGTCACTGCATGGGGACTATAGTCATTAATACAGTAGTAACGTTGTATGGAGACAGATGGTGACTACACCTGTCATGATGAGCACTGAGCATCATGTACAGAATTGTCGAATCCCTATGTTGTACTCCTGAAACTAATATATTTTTAAAAACTTTTTTATTGTTTATTTATTTTTGAGGGAGAGAGAGAGACAGAGTGTGAGTAGGGGAAGGGACAGAGAGAGAGGGAGGCACAGAATCCGAAGCCGGCTCCAGGCTCTGAGCTGTCCACACAGAGCCCGACGCGGGACTCGAACTCACGAACTCTGAGATTGTGACCTGAGCCGAAGTAGGACGCTCAACCGACTGGGCCACCCAGGCGCCCCTCCCCCGACACTAATATAATGCTGTATGTCAAGCAAGCACCCCAGTGGTTAAAACGATGGACTTGAGAGCCAGATGCTCTGCATCTGAATTCAGGCTGACTATGGGGCCACGGGCATGTCACTTAACTCCACAGAACCTCCCTGTCCACATCTGTGAAACGGAGGCAGTAATATGGGACTCACAGTATTACCATAGGACGGCGTGCGTGAAGATGATGGGGCAGCGCAGGAAAGTGTAAACCATGTGGTAAGTACTAGATAGATTGTGACCTTGCCAGTAATAACAATGATGGAGACAATAATCCGGTCCGACACCCACTGTGACCAGATCACCTTGTCTTCAACCCTCTAAATGCTACCAGCCCTGGCAAGTCAAGGAAACAAGACCGACCTCCCTTCTTCCCTCCCTCCTTCCTTCCTTCCTTCCTTCCTTCCTTCCTTCCTTCCTTCCTTCCTTCCTTCCTTCCGGAAAAGTCTTGGGCCAGAACCCGTAAGATCTGGGGCCCTGTATGGCATTGCCTCCAGACTATGGCTGGGAAGGGAAATCATTTCTCATTTAGAAATTAATGAGGTTTCCTGGGGCGGGTTCAGCCCGGCGGCACGGCGTGTGAGTTTCCCCAGACACACCGCAAGCTGACTTGACGTACACGTTCAATTAAATGTCTGGGTAAGAACAGGCTTCCTGTGGGAGAGTTGTAAAATCTCCTGCTGAAGTTTGGCTGAGCTTCTTGTGGGGTGTGAGCGTGTGTGTGTGTGTGTGTGTGTGTGTGTGTGTGTGTGTGTCCTAGTCTTTGTTATTTCCAGAGCCACAGACGTGGGGCATGAATATTGATTCTGAGTTCTGTTCCCCTTAGAAATGTATCCACTTCTGGGGAGGCTGGGTGGCTCAGTCAGTTGAGCATCCAACTTCAGCTCAGGTCATGATCTCATGGTTGGTGGGTTCGAGCCCTGCGTCTGGCTCTGTGCTGACAGCTCAGAGCTTGGAGCCTATTTCAGGTTCTGTGTCTCCCTCTCTCTCTG